AATAGCATAGCAAAATAGAGCACTCTTTTCTCTATTAGACTATATAGAAAGAAAGTTTTTTTTAAGCTTACTATATGGCTATGTAACGTCGTGATCAGAACTTTTGGTACACCCTAAGTAGTACTAAAAGATTTAAAACAAGCAAATAATACCAAATAGGTAACTTTGTATCTAATGAAAAATGTCCTCTAATTAATTATCCATATGATGCGTTGTGAGAGGATGTGGGTGTGAGTGGGGTGTAGGTGTGGGTGGGTGTCGGTGTGGGTGGGTGTTGGTGGATGTGGATATTGATGTGGTTTATGAGTATACAACACACTCATATCCACGCCCCACATCCACTCGCACACCCTCGTTCGCTATATATTGACCGTTTACTCCGACATCATTAAACCAATGCAGAATGCACATAGGTCATCCACTTATTATCGGCACAAGTACGTCAAATGGAGCAGCAGCGCTACTGCTTTAAATTTTGCATATATCATGCTCAAAGATAGCATATCTTTTACTGACGTAAAGTAATTTAAAAATAAAAAAATCAATTAATGTCACTAACGTTACACTTAAACCCAATTTTAATCTCTTTTCTTATAGTTTAATTTGCTTGGTGTTATGACGAAAACCTAACTGGAAAATAAACTATTAATTTTTTGTTATACGCGCATCGTGACCTCACTATTGTCATTGTCAACAAAAGGATTCTTCTTTTTCTTAGCGTCAATGTTTAAAAGAAACAGAATGAAAATAAAAAACCTTCTTTTCACTTCAGATTCTTCTTCTTTTTCCTGGGGTGTATGCGTCGATAAGAAGAATTTTTGTATTTAAAAGTAATTTCTTGATAAAATCTTATTACAATGGAAAACTATTCCCTAATTAATTATCAAGACGACATCAATTTTGTATGGTATGATAATGATCAAAACATGAATGAAGTAAAATCTAACTTAGAGAACAAGATCAATTTTAAAATAAATTATTATACAAATTTAGAAGTATGTATCGATTACGTTGAATCAATTCAATGGAAAATGCAACGAATATTTTTTATTACATCAGCATCATGCTCGAATGATATCATTCCGAGAATTCATAATTTGCGTCAAATCGATTCAATTTTTCTCATGTCAAACGAAGATATTGATATTGAAGAAAAATATTCAAAAATAATAGGAATATTTATTCGATATGATGATTTGACAAGTTCAATTCAACAGAATATTGAACTTTTAAAGAATGATATGCAAACATTTAGTATTTATATTCAAAATCAAAAATCAATACGTGATTTATCAAACGAATCTGCATCATTTCTATGGTTTATTTTATTTAAAAGTGTTATTCTTGAATTATCACAAGATAAAGAAGCAAAACAAGATTTGATTCATAAATTAAAAGAATGCTATCGAAATAATAATCGACAATTAAAGTTTATTGAACATTTTCATAAAACATTTCGAATAGAAGATTCAATCAAGTGGTATACAGGACAGCCAATTATTTATAAAACAATAAATCGATCATTAAGAACAGAGGACATTAATGAATTATATTCGTATAGATATTTTATTGCATCTCTATCGAGAAATCTATGCGATCAATATAATCTTATCAAAGATTGCGGCGCTAAACTTACACTTTATCGTGGCACACGTTTGTCAAATAATGAAATTGATAGGTTGAAAACTAGCAAAGGGAATTTAATATCAACGAATCTCCCTCGGACAAAAAAAACGCCCTTTTTCCATTTCATTTTTGCATCACTTAATAAGTTGTTTTAGAAAAACAAAATATACCAGGAGATGCAGCGTGAAAAGAACTACAATGTGCAAA